GTTAGTTACCAATCCCATGCGTCGGAACTTTGACACAATGTCCATCTTGATTCACTGGAGGATTTGGAAGGAAAGAAATTCCAGAATTTTTGAGCAGGAAGCGAGTAGTCCCTTCAGAATTTTGGATCTGATCAGAGAAGATATTGGGACATGGAGGGCGGCCGGTTGTGTTACTAACATTGGCAACCTTTCTTATTGTTGGTTTGCCCCCTTTTAGTTGTTTTGACGGTTGTTGCCGTCCTTTTGTATTTTCGGAACGTCTCAGTTCCGTGGGTTCCCAGTTCTAGTTCGCCTAGACTGCTAACCTTTGTTGTACTGCTTCTCCTTCTTTCTAATAATATTGGGCCTATGGCCCTTCAACAATTAAATCTTTGGTACATCTTTGTACTTGCGATTATCATTAAAAAAAAGTAGTAGTGTTATATATATATATATATAATAATTGATAGAGAAGTAGAAATGTTAAACATGGTGTTAAGAGGCCACCTCAAGATATACGACATGCATTTCAAGCTTAGCAGATATGTGTTTTCCCATGTGTGTCGTGTGAGTAGCCAGACAAGCAATTTCGTTGAGTCATGTTTTCGTGGAGTGATTCCACTTGCTATATAAGAGAAACTCAGAGGATAGGAAAAGGCTGCGAAGGACAGAAACAACGTACTAGCCTCTAGTGCCACCAAGGAGAAATGCTTCTGTGCAAAGCAAATCTAGTGTCTCCCTCTTAGCGTGTGTGTGGTGGTTTGTATAAAACAAGGAGAAAGAGTTGTAAGAGTGAAGGGAAGAGCTGTGAGATTCAGCTCCACCAGTTAGTTGACGAGGTATGTGGGATAGTGGAGGAAAACAAAGAGTTGTGGGATAGTGTTGTTCGAACAGACAATGATGGTGTCATATATGCCGACTATGAGCAAGCGAGCGACAAAGGCTCTTCTTCTCCATGCCACGATGTAGTATGCAAGTGAGCACAGATTGCATATCTCCCATGAGATGGGACTGCAGATGCTGATAATTGGAAATTACTCCAGATGTTTGCCTGTTTAATTCTACTGCATTTAACTAGTAATGTCATGTAAACATTAATTTTTGAAAGAACATAAACAGAACACATTGTATTGGATTTCACTCTATAGACTCATAGGTGTAGAGAACCAAGTTTGAAGGTAGATATGATGTCTCGACGAACTACCTCTTCTCACGCGCTAGTGCGACAATGCATGTAACTCTTGCCAACATATTGGCAAGCTTTTGCTGTAACGTATTTAAGTTTTTTAGGGAATGTAAGCGCATCTTCAACACGGTGCCACAAAATGGACTCACTATCCGTCCGCGTCTGTGGACATGGATACATGAGTGTGTCATCCAACCGCATGTCCAAAACGCCTGCCTCTATTACAAGGTTAAGGAGGTGAATGTAGAAATTAACCATGTTGCCCCAATACACCTGGGATTAGGAATCGGAGCAAGTACGAGTCCTAACAGTATTAGGATTTCTAGTCCTAATCTATTTCCATACTCCCTCATGGACATGTATAAAAAGCACCATAGGGGTGATGCTTGTAGCACATCGAAAAAGAAAAAAGTGAAGAAATAGTAAGGCTCGATACGAGCCTTTGGTATCGGTTACCTCATCGCAACGGGGTGCAAACATCAATAGGAGGGACAATGGTATCAGTTGTTACCCCAATTATTGTATCATATAATGTTTTCAGTGCCAAGATTACAGTTCAGTGAAGAACCAAACAAGAAAATTTCTGAGAAAGTCTCGTCCTCTAGAAACACCAAATTTGGAAACATGCACACAAGACCCAAACAGATTAAAATAAAACTTTGATAAACACTAAGAGTAAGATAATAACAGCCAAATTGTGAGGGTATAATAAGACGCATAGACAACTCGTTTGCATTTACCACGTAAACATGGCCAGACAGATCTTCGGAGGTATGGACTGCATGGGCAAGGGAAACACCATCCACCAGTTGGCTTTGCATCTTTACTTCATGAATTTTTAGACTTGATCTTGCATGCTGACCAGGTCATTTACAACCATGACATTAAATTGTGCAGTATCAATTAGAAAATGATTTATTTTGCGAGAAAACCATCTATTGCTCTGAAAATAACAATTTTTGGTATTTCAAAAATCGAAGTATTTCTGTCTAAAGATGCAAACCATTGCGTCTTTAGGAAATTAGAAGAAAAATTCTTTGTTACTGGAGCGGTATCCAGGCAACCAGCACTAGTGCCTATATCCAGGCACTGCCTATATCACGGGTCCATATGCAGCAGCAGATGACTTAATTTCCAGTAAGAGTCGCACATGTTGTGCAGGTTTCCAAATAGAAGTTGTTTTATCTTCTATTTGCACAAAAAGTGGTCTTGTCTTGTAAAGGTTCGGTAATTTCAATATATGGCCTTGACCAAATAATCCTGCACTGGCGTGCTCATTTGCTCACAACGACCGCAGGAGAAAGACCGATTTTTCCAAGAATCTGACTGTAGTGTGTTACTATTAGATAACTTCAATATATGTCCAGTTTTTGGGAGAGTGGTCTTCCAATGTTGATTAACTTCAATATATGGCCTTGGCAGTACATCATAATGGGTCGCATGAGCAACAGGGTGACAATAAAAGAAGGGTAGTAGCACCTTAAACCAATTGTAACTCCCATTGCTATACCATATAATGTTTTCGGTGCCAAGATTACAGCTTAAGAGTCAAACAGATACAATCTCTTGAGAGGTTTCTTTCTCGAGAAAGACTCTTCTGTTTCAAAATGTTGCACACTAACTTGGTCAGCAGGACCAGTGCATAACATGCGAGGCCAAAATGCAGCAACAGCAGGTTGAAGGTGCATGCATGCATTCTTCATGTGAAGTGAAGGTAAAGAGAAACAAGGTATGGCTAGCACGGACAAATTTGCACCCAGAGTGCAGTAATATACTCATGAGTCTCATGACTACGTACATGGTCGCCGGACGATCTACGCATGCATGTTGGCTCGTCAATATATAGTCCATCACAACGTGCTTTAAGTGGAAGCGCAAAGTCTTAGACTAGTGGACTATTTAGCTACATATACTACTTCTATGAGATATTGGAGTGAAACAAATAAGCCAGATGCTTTCCTATATGACTGGTACGGTGTGTGATCCCTTGTGTATCAGCTGGCAGGAAGCCCTTTGGACTAGAATCTAAGTGTACAGGGCGCATGGATCGTAAATCATTTTGTATGACTTCAATAAACACCCACATGGTGATGGCTCAGCCAATACGAGCGCTCGTCGCGATGAGACTTGCACCTTCCACCATGTTCTACTCGCACAGCACCGGCATGTCACGGCATGTTCATCAACTTCTCCAACTTGCCCGTGCCTAGCATCACCGTCAGCGAGCGCCATAGTCGCTGCCGCAACCAGCCAACAAACGATGAGAGCATTTAGCCTTCAAAGGCGATTTAACTAGTGTGAAATTTTCAAGCAATGTATCTTGGACTGATTATGGGCGATGTGAGATATGATAGCGCATAAGAAAAATACAGAAGAGTACATGTAGCATAGTCATAGCTCGAGCGGACGGCAAAAAACAACCATATTTTAAGTTCTCATCCTGATTTGCCACCACATTCCTTGGAAGTCACAAAAATCTACCAGATTTCTTTCTAATTTTCTCAATAAACACTAATGATTGATTTTGGACGATTTGATCCAATTTTTGACAGAAAGGGCCCACATGTAAGCGCTGATGTGGCACTAAAGTAAAAAAAAACAATGTTTGTTGTTAAATTAGAAAGAGGGCCCACTGATCAGGAACCCCTCTCTCCCCGCGATCCCACGAGCTCCACCTCTCTGGAGCCGTTCGTGCATCCTCTACCAGATGGCCGGCATTGCCCAGCCACATCTCCTACCATGGTCCGCCCCCTCCAACATCTGCCACATCTTCTCCCTCCCGGCGCTGGCGAGATCCACTGTGCCCTGCATACCATCCCTCACAGCCACATACCGGATCCAGCGATCAGGACCCTCCCCCTGCCCCGACGAGGTCTGTCCTCCTCCTCCTCTTCGGAGTTTGGCGAGCCGGTCCCCAACTCTGAGATCTTCGGCGTGCGGCAGCGCAGCGGTTCCTGATCGAGGCTTGGGTGCCCGTCGAGGAGCAACAACGCATGTTGCGGCCGCTGAGCTCCTAGCCCGGACCGCCGCGACTCGGGAGCCTTCCCTAGTGCGCTGACCGGAAAGAAGACTTTCATGTTGTGGCACTCCTTGTTCGAGTCCGTCGACGTGGTCGCCGAAGTTGGCCTTCCAAGCCCGTCTGTCCACGCCTATCTCCCCTCCGGCGGTGACAGTGCTCACGGGCACAACAACCTCCGTGCAAGGGGTCAGTTGAAATATAATTTTGTTTCTAGGGTGATTTTTGTAATTTTCAAGGACCCTTTTGTTAGTTCGGCTGATGATTGGTGGGGCCCATGTCTAACTTAACGGTCAACAAACGGTGTTGACCGTTTTATGCCATGTCAGCGCAGGCGGGCCCTTTCTGTCAGAAATTGAATTGCAATCGTGTCAAATTAATCATTAGTGTTTATTGAGAAAATTAGAAGAAAACTAGTAGATTTTTGGGGCGCCCAAGGAATGTGGTGGCAAATTCGTATGTGGACTTGAAATGTGGTGTGTCTTTTGTTTTTGTTGCAATTCACTCTCATAGATCTAATAGCTAATTTTGGGGTGTACGTCAAGTTAGTCCTAAAACTATACTCCGTACAAGTTATTCATGGAGAGCCCTAACTTGCCCAGACCAGTGTTGAACTGCTCATGTGGCGCTTGACTGTTTCCATGTTGACATAGTGTATGCAAAATAGCCCTTTACAAATATACAATTGAAAATCCACTCTAAAAAATGTGGTACAACCACGTTGAAGAAGAGAGGTATTTTTATTTATTAAAAGAAGACACATCATTATCACGATGCACACAGACAAAAGGAGCAAGATGTGTAGGTAGGTTTCTTCACCTAGCAATACTCGTGTGTCCACTTGCGCACCACCTCATCCAGCGCGGTCGTGGCGGCACCGCCTTCAAGAAGAGCTTCCATGGCTGCCTTCTGCAGCGCCGCCACATTAGATCTAACCTGGGCGCCTTTGTCTTGGCCAGCCATCAATTCCCTCACTGCCGCCGCAATCTCCTCCTTCATCTTCGTCGGCTGCACTCGCAAGGCGACCCCGACACCCTCCGAAAGCATCACGGCGTTCTGCCGCTGCTCGGCGAACAGCGGCCACGCGATCATGGGCATGCCGTGCACCAGGCTCTCCAGGACCGAGTTCCACCCACAGTGCACCAAGAAGCCTCCCGTGGCCTCGTGAGCAAGAACCTCCGTCTGCGGCGCCCACGACGGCACCAGGAGGCCGACATCCTTGGTCCTCTCCACAAACCCCTCCGGAAGGTAGGCCAGGGGGTCCTTCTTGCTCTCGGCGTCGTAGTAGTTGGCGTTCACGGTCCCCTCGTCGCTCGGGCTCCGCACCACCCACAGGAAGCGCTGCCCGCTGAGCTCCAGCCCGAGCGCGAGCTCGTGCATCTGCTCCGTCGGCAGCGAGCCCCCGGAGCCGAACGAGACGAAGATGACTGACTTGGGCGGTTGCCGGTCGAGCCAGTCCAGGCACGCAGCGCGCGGCTCCTCGCCGGCGTCGGCCCGTATGAGTGGACCGATGTTGTACACCGGAGGGCGCCCGGGCTCCGGGTGAGAGAGCACCCTGGCGGCGTCCGGCTCGACGGCGTCGAAGGAGTTCACCAGGATGGCCTCGGATTCTAGGTAGCGCTTGGCGTGGTGCACCATCCACCGGTAGCAGGGGTCAGACTTGTCCTGGAACGACGACATGACGTCCGGCCCCGGGATGGGGACGCAGCGGGGCAGCCAGACGGGCTCGGCGAGGTCCCGGAACTCACCGGGCATGGAAACATCGATCTCCGGGAGGTGGAGGATGAATGTTAGCCCATGCAGGTTCCCCGGATGGAACAGGTACCTTCTGGGCACGCCGGCGGCCACGGCAGCGTCTAACGAGTCCGTCCCGAAGAGGTCGGCCACGTAGGCCACCAGCCGCGTCGTCTCCGTGAGCCCCGACAGAAGCCCCGTCAGCGCCGGCACCAAGCGGGCGCACTCCTCGGACATGAGCGTCTCGATGGTGGCGTCGGGCGGCAGGTCGGAGAGGTCGACGGGCGGAAGGGACACGGAGGAGATGGCGGCCGGGAGGGAGGCGAGGAAGGACCGCTGCGTGGCGGACGCCGTGGAGGCGAAGGTGATGAGCGTGGCCGTGACGCCGTGCCGCGCGGCCAGGCGCTTGGCAAGCTCCGCGAGCGGGATCAGGTGGCCCATCCCGGGCGTCACCAGCATCGCCACGTGCGGTGGCCGGCGGGCCTCAGCCGTGCCGCTCGCCTCCATTGTTTTGCCCCTGTGTTTTCTCCGTGGGATTATTTACGGTGGTTGTGCTTGACCTCGTACGTGTGTATTGCTTTGGGGGTTTATAAGTAGGGAAGGAAGACAGAATTAATTTATCCAACAGCATGTTTGTCATCCAGCATGCATCCAGATTCATATCGCCAGATCTGATATATAGATAGGATCACGCGCAGACAGTATTATTGATTGGTCGGTTCGGCTCCTTGTGGCCCAATCATTTGCATCATTTACTCACCTGTGGCTGTGTGGGATGAGCTAAACATGAAATTTTGGCAACTTCCGAGTCTACCATTTTTTCTCTTTTTTGCCGGGAGCGATTTTACTATTCGACGGCGCGGCGGAGTTTAAGACTAGGGAAAAGCTTCAATTCACAAACTCATCCGTGTCGTCCGCCTCCCCTGGACAACACTGTTGTCCTCCGTTGAGTCCATCGGTCTTTCCCTTTTCAACTTTATCTTTTAACCGACCTCTCTCCATCACTCATTTTCTCCTCATGTTTTCCCCTTTATATCTTCATTCGTTTAGCTAGCTAAGAAAAATCAGATCGGCGGCGGCTTCCCATGGCAACCACCATCCATCAGCTCGAGATGCGTCATCATCTATACCAATATATATAAATCAAAGGGGCTAATTCAATAATCTCAACAATCAAATCATGTCAAACCATCAAGCTATATTAATCTAAATGGTGAATTCTTGACATGTTTAGCATACGGTTAATATCATTTTTGAGTGCCCCGGCACTAGGCAAAATCAAATATGCCGGTAGTGCTTCACATCCAAGCACAGTTGATCCGCGAAAGGAGAGACACAATCTCGCCGATCGGAGAGCATAAAGCATGATTGTAGCATGTTGGCTAGATCATCACGCATCAATTGACATGACAAGGATGGCGAGCATCTATACAACCAAGTCGGCAAACAAAGGTGAAAGAGCATGCCCTCTCATCCAATGTTCACTGTTGTTGCCAGAGAATATTACTAAACAGTAAGATGTAGCTACCTACGAGCCTCCACATCGTTTTGACGTCGTCAGCCGTCGGATCAAACACAGTAACGAACCAGATCGATCCGTCGTCCCACCGAGCGCTGCAGGTCATTTTCACCGCGTCGCGCGACGCTTCAGCACACGCAGTTGGGCCGCTGCTCCACGAACCGAGCCAGGGGTCACCTCGTTCAATGGGACGATCAGCAACCAAAAGCCCATGTAGCCTAGGCACGACCGCAAGGGATTCTTCCACCTATTGCGTGCGTACTCCATGCCCTCGAAAGAGAAAAATTTAAGCCGATCTCCCGAGTCCCCCATGATACGCAGATTCCGCAATCAGGCTCGGCGCCAACGGCGAGCGCTGTCGCGTACCTTCCGCCTCGGTTCCTCTCGTTCGCATCCTTGCTCAGGTATGTTCTTATGCCCCAAAAGTTGATCTCTTCATCTTGCCGCAAAAAAATTGATCTCCTCATCTACCGGCTGCTGTGCCTCTTAGACGGCATTATTATCGTTTGGATTGTCCCTTTTACTGTTTCCAGTTCGTCCATTGAGTATTCCTTCCGTTTATGTCATGCTAATAATGGGATCATTAGCACAGGTAGCCCCTTTCTTCCAGATTTTCCCCACTGCTCTTATTAGGAAGATGTGCACTATCAATTCATGACTGTATTTCAGGGCCTCAATTCATGACTGTATGTGCAAACCTAGGTGTGTGGCAGAGATAACTTGTAATTACATGCAATTCTGGGCCTCAATTCATGACTGTATGTGCACTATCTTTCAAGCTTTCAAGCTTCAAGATGCATGCACCACAATGTGTATTATTATTTTTGAATATTCCACAATGTGTATTTCATATCCTAAATTGTTTCTCGTTTACTCCCAAAGCAATTTCTCATGACTCAACAATATAACCTTTAAGATAGGTAGGCGCGGCAACGCGCGCCTTTAAGTTCTAGTGCTATCAGGTTATTACGACCACTGCCGCCCATTATGTACGATACATGGGACAAAAGAAGAACTTCAAAGTTTTTTTTAGGATTAGAAGAACTTCAAAGTTAGGCAGCAAATGAGGGCGCTACTAGGTGTTCATAATTCTTTTGCAATGCTCATTGTTCATAATATTTTTTGCAAATTCAAAAAGTCTTCATGGAATTTCATAAAATGTTTGCATTTTGAAAAACATGTTCGTAATTTCGAAAAAGAATGTTTTTCAAAAAATATTCCTCTTTAAAAAAATCAATTTCAGAAATATTCTTGTTTCATAATTTGTTATCAAATTCAAAAATGTTCAGTGAATTTCAGAAAAAAATATTATTAGAAAAAGTTGTTTATTATTTCTAAAAGTGTCCGCCTATTTGAAAAAAATGTTCTTGTTTTCAAAATTTGTTCACAAATTGAGAAATGTTCTTGTTTCCATAATTTGTTTGTGAATTTCAAAAAAATCAGGGAATTTCATAAAATATTCGTATCTTTAAAATTTTGTTCACATTTTCATAAAATGTTCAGATTTTCAATTTTGTTTTTGTTTTTTGCAAAATGTTTACATTTTCAAAATGTTATTTGTAGTTTCAGAAAATTTTCTCGTTTTCAATTCTGTTCCATTTTTTTGAAAAACAAATGTTTGAGATTCCAAAGATGTTTTATTCTTTAATAATTTGTTACCAAATTTCGAAAATTTTCGTTTTGTTAATGTTTACTTTTGTGGGCACGAAATTCACGTTCAAAATTCTTTCACTGCCTATTGTTTATATAAAATGAGCTGCCATTTTTAGACAACAAATCTGTGAACTACATTGGCTAGTGACTGGTACACAAGAGGTTGTGTGTTCGATCCCACTAAGACATATTTTTGGGGGAAAATTGCTTGCTATTCTTTCAGTGCCTGTTTTTGTCTTCTTTTAGTATGGCGCTACATGTCTTTTAGTCGAGTCAAGCGGTCACACCGGCTATAAGCTCCAGCATTTGTGGCGCTGGACCGTAGTTCGATTCCGACCTGGGGCGCTGATTTTTGTTGATTTTTGACTGCTAGAACACAATGCTAGCCAGTTCCGTGAGTTGAGTTATGCAACACTAACACACTGCTTGTATTCATTGCTTCAAGAGTACATATAGACAGATTACAATCAGGGAGAGAGAGCAGTGGATCGTAGGATGCAACGGCAAGAGCCGATAGTGCCTAAATTCTAGGGATAACTACGCACGTAGTGCAGGTGGCCGTTGGGCAGCCTGAGGAATCGGTCTTGCCATCAGCCACGCGAGATGTGAGGAGTGGGCGTATTAACACCCCCCGCAGTCACAACATGGGGTTCGCCAACGTTGAGACTGGACCGGAAGTCGAGGAAGACGCCCGTCGGCAGCCCCTTGGTGAAGATATCGGCGAACTGCGAGCTCGTGGGCACGTGGAGAACGCGTATCTCGCCGAGGGCAACGCACTCGCGAACGAAGTGGAGATCGATCTCAATGTGCTTCATGCGTTGGTGCTGCACCGGGTTGCTCGACATGTAGGTGGCGCTGATGTTGTCGCAGCAGACCACCGTGGCGCGCGACGGAAGCTGATGGAGCTCACCGAGAAGTTGGCGGAGCCAAACTGACTCAGCGACGGCGTTGGCGACCGCTCGGTATTCCGCTTCGGCACTAGACCGGGAGACGGTGTTCTGGCGCTTCGACGACCAGCTGAGTGCTACGTCTTGAGCTTGCGTTGGTTTTCCTTGAAGAGGAAAGGATGATGCAACAATAGTAGCGTAAGTATTTCCCTCAGTTTTGAGAACCAATGTATCAATCTAGTAGGAGGCTCCTCAAAAGTCCCACGCACCTACACAAACAAATAAAGAACTCGCAACCAACGCAATAAAGGGGTTGTCAATCCCTTCACGGCCACTTGCGAAAGTAAGATCTGATAGAGATAATATGAGAAGATAAATATATTTTTGGTATTTTCTAATATAGATGCAAAAAGTAAAAATGCAAATAAAAGTAGATTGAAAGTTTATATGATAAAAGATAGACCCGGGGGCCATAGGTTTCACTAGAGACTTCTCTCAAGATAGCATAAGTATTACGGTGGGTGAAAAAATTACTGTCGACCAATTGATAGAAAAGGGAATAATTATGTGATTATCTAGGCATTATCGTGTATATAGGCATCACGTCCGCAACAAGTAGACCGACTCCTGCCTGCACCTACTACTATTGCTCCACACATCGACCGCCATCCAGCATGCATCTAGAGTATTAAGTTCATAAGAATAGAGTAACGCATTAAGAAAGATGAAATGATGTATAGGGATAAACTCAAGCAATATGATATAATCCCCATCTTTTTATCCTCGATGGCAATAATATAATACGTGCCTTGCAACCCTTTCTGTCACTGGATAAGGACACCGCAAGATTGAACCCAAAGCTAAGCACTTCTCTCATGGCAAGAAAGATCAATCTAGTAGGCCAAATCAAACTGATAATTCGAAGATACTTGCAAAGATAACTCAACCATACATAAAAGAATTCAGAGAAGATTCAAATATTTCTCATAGATAAACTTGATAAAAAAACCCACAATTCATCGGATCTCGAAAAACACACCGCAAAAAGAGTTTACATCGAAGATCTCCACAAGAGTGGGGGAGAACATTGTATTGAGATCCAAAAAGAGAGAAGAAGCCATCTAGCTAATAACTATGGACCCGAAGGTTGGTAAACTACTCACAACTCATCAGAAGGGCTATGATGTTGATGTAGAAGCCCTCCATGGTCGATTCCCCCTCCGGCGGAG